TTTTTTGGTTTTTCTCCGGTACCGGGAACCAAACTCACGACCTTGCGCTTGCCAGGCAGGCGCTTTGCCGCTGAGCTAAATCCCCAGCCCCCATGGGGAGCGTCTTGACACAAACCCCCAAGAGGCCTAGGCAACAGAAGGCTCAGGATGTGTAGGGACAGGGAGAGGGCACAGCAGCCAGCAGCAATGTACACTGCATGGAGAAGCAGCGGCATTCCTGGCTGGTCACAGAGGGCCTCATCTGAAAACACTGGGAATGAAGCTAGCAAGCCGTTCAGTTCTGTGACATCTGCCAGCACAGAACTTGGTAGTTTGGTTTTTCCCCACCGCATCCCAAGGCACCCTTCCTTCAGAGATAGGCTCAGGCTTGGGCCTTCGGTGCACCCAGGGGTGTGCAGATTAGAGCCCTCCATGCTGAGCATACACCCACCTGCCACGGCCTACATACTGCTGAGTCTTGGTTAGTGACAAGGGTTGGCTCTAGCCCTGATTTTGGCCACAACTTTAGTCCCACAGACTGAGAACTCAGAAGCACTATCCACTCACACATCGCAGTCCACAATCTTCTAAATCTCAGGCAGTGGGAGGGTTAGCTGTGGCTTCGACTATCTCCACATCCCCAGGCGTCTAAAAGCGTCAAGGGAAAATACAACCCTGGTAACATCAATATCCTCTTATCATCCCCTTAAGATGCCTGGTGTGAAATGTGGGCTACAGCCCTCTTTACACTCTAATTTTTTTGTTTGAGCTTAGTGGGATCATTACGTGCTGTGCTACACACTACCCTTAAAGTTGCAGAAGATACAATTTACATAGTTAAGTTTAGAGTTCTTAAATCTTTTTCACACACACCAGAGCCTGGGAACTCTAGAACCAGTCATGACCCATGAAAAGGCAGAGGCTCGTAGTTGTGAAACACTCAGTGGTTAGTTTAGAGGTGTTAACCAACTATATACTAGGAGTATCTAAAACACTAAAACAAATATGAAAAATGGAACAAAGAATGTACAAATACATAAAAGCAATTACCAAGAAAAAAAGCAGCAATGCTTGGCTTCCTAGGCCTCCTGGTAACTAGTCACTCTGCTACTCTCAGAAGCAAGGAGAACGGGGAGGTTTCTAATCACTATGTCTGTCTAGTTATGAATTGATCAGGGTGGAGAGACCACTGCTGAGCTCAGGTGTGTCACCTATAAAATAGAAGTCATTTTTCAACTTCTTAAAGAAGAGCTGTGGACAACTGACCACTGAGGTATCCAGCATTCCAAAGCTTTAAGAGCATTTTAAAAATATATAGTAGCACTGCCAGGCATGATGGTGTATACCTGTAATGCCAGCACCTTTTCCCTCTGATCCCTGCCCCGCGATCCTGTGAGTAGGGATGGGCCGGAGCCCGACAGCTTTCTTCATTGGGAGGGTGCGCATCCAGTGTTTACTGCCAGTCATGATGCTTAATTAAATATGCTTCCTAAATATTGGGCTCGGTGGCTTTATGTTTTCAAATTACATTTTGGGGCTGTTATTTAATTTTTCACTAATTCTTTTCATTATTAGTTTTGTAATACATAATTTTTCTGATAACCTGTTAATTACATTATTAGGGTATTTCTGTGCTGGGGGTGTAGCTCAGAGAAAGTACTTGCCTGGCATATGTGAAGCACGGGGTTTGCTCCCAGTACCATGCATTTTAAATTACTCCTAATCATATACTTTCATTAAACTAGTAAATTTCATTCGAGTTTTGGTAATGCCTACATACCTCAGTTCAAATGGGTAAAGTTGTAAATATATTTTTAATACGAATAGTTAATAAAGAGTGTAGTTCAAGTGCCGTTGTACAAGTTTTCATGTTGTACCATTCTAAACATCCTAATAAATGCTAGTGTTTTTTTTTTCTTTTTGAGGCTGTCTCACTATGCAGTTCAGGCTGGCCTTGAGCTCACTTTGTAGCCCAGACTGGCCTCAAACTGACAACGATCCTCCTGCCTCAGCCCCCCGACTGCTGGGATTACAGGGGTGCACCACCATGCCCGGCAATGCTAGTGTTCTATAATCTCAAATATATGTTTTAAATTTTCATTGTCCATATATGCTAAAGTACACATTGATATGAATGATGATAAAAATAAAATCACTGAAAAAAAATCATTGAGAGAGAGTCCTTTTAAATGTGTTGATTTAAGCATAGTATGAATGCATGAATATGTGGACATGCAATTCCATTGTTTTTTTCAAGGTCACATTATTTGAAATATTTAATGCTTTTTCTATAATGCTGGAACTCAAGCCTAGGGTCTTGTGGATGCTAGGCAAGTGCTGTACCACTGAGTTATATCCAAACCCAAAGTATGTTTTTTAATGGTAGAAACTATATCTTAAATATAGTTAGCCCCATCTCTTATGGGACTTGAAATTTATACTGTACTATCCTGTTAATGCATTGGTAGCCATGAGAAAATTGTAATATGTGTGCGTACACGCATACAGAATGAACTTCATGCAGATTCATGATGTTATCCTGAACTTGTTTCTACTTTCCCTATTAGGAAAGCTAACAGCATTTTCTTCTTGATGCTATATGTGTTGCTTAACTGATCAGCGTTCATTGTGATTCCCAAGCACCTAGGCTCAGGTGTGCACTCTGCCATTTCTCGTTCTTTGACCTGAGTTGAGTCCCTTAGTGTCTGTGACACAGTTTCCTCCATACTAAGAGGGAAACATTGCTGTGGGCTATTGTGTTTGTCTATGAATTATATATTTAAAGCAATTAGGATAATATGCAGTGTCTGAAGGTGTTCAGAAGCTTTAGCCATTACTATTGCTGTCATTATCAATGCCTCTTAGAGCCTAGTCTTTCTTGATAGCTTTGTGAACTATGTGATTTTTCAGCACACACTTCATCCCCTAGCTCACATAGTTACTGAATATCACTGAGCATGTTGGACATAACATCTAAAACCTTTAGAGAGAAAAACCTGTTTGTGCTTCTATTTGTACACTTGTTACACTGTTCATAAAATGAGAAATCTATACTTGATTTAGAGACTGGTATAGCCTCTTATGGAAAAGTATAATAAAATACAATTGTAGAGATATACCATGCTCGAAAATACCTTACTATGTGTGAATATGTAGGAAAGACAAACTTGCTTCCTCCTGTACATTCACCACACAGAAGCTGTAACTTCAGATGTGTGAGGATTTTTCTCCACACACCAAGCAAGCTTTTCTGTGTGAGGGATGCTCTGGAATTCAGTCTAATTCTGACACTTTGTAAAAATAGCCTAGATCCCACTGTTGAGGATTCAGACCTACAGAAATATCCTCAGCAGATGACAGCTGCAGGCACAAGTTGCACCTGTGGTTCTGAACCATCAGCTATAAATGGAGATTCCCATTCCTAAAACCTCATTCTTGGTTTAAAAGAATTTGCTACAACAACTCATAAATATCAGTGAACAATTACCCTTAGCATTTCTTGTAAGGCTTCCTAAAAAGATGGACACCCAAATAGAAAGGATGCACAGGGCAAGCTATGGGATAAGGAACATGGTGTGTCCCTGCCTTCTATGGATGCTTCACCTTCCAGAAACCTCCAGACATTCACCCATCTGACTGCTTCTTTGAACCCTGTACTTTAGAGTTTTTACAGAGGCTTCATTGCATAGGTGTGATTGCTTATATCATTCACACTGATGATTAATTCAAATTTAGACCCCCCTCTGTTTCCTAGAGGTTGGGCATAGAAGTGAATATCATGACCATCTAATCCTGCCTAGGTCTTTACGATGACGAGGCCCTGTCCTAAAGGGACCTCGATTCCTCTGGCCATCAGTGACCTCATTATCATATAAAATCATCCTTACCACTCCAGACATTCAAAGTGGGCTCTACCGGAAACTCCTGACATGACAGCATAGTTTTAGCTCACTCACTGCAATTGAATCGACTCATATTTCCCTCCTTTTCATTTTGTACGGGGACTGTAACTCTGCTCATTTTACCATGGTGAAATATGTTTTTCGTTTTAGGATCTGTTCACATTCAGGGATATGGCCATAGAATTCTCCCAGGAGGAGTGGGAATGCCTGGACCCTGCTCAGAGGACTTTGTGCAGGGAGGTGATGTTGGAGAACTACAGGAACCTGGTCTCCTTTGGTAAGAATGACTTCCTTCCAAATGTCAGATGTACTGTGTGTCTCTTTGCATTTTCCCTTGTGTCTGCATGGAATGTCCTGTGGTATTTGACTGAGACAGATGTCCTGTTGCCTCTGCAACGTGAAGCTTCACAGTGAGGCAGCTGGAGTTTAACTGTCCTCTTTCCTCAGGTGTTCTGACGCATTTATGATAGACATCTCAGCGGTGGTTGCAGAGCTGAAATATGCATGAAAACTTACAGCAGACGTTAAAAACATCCAGTTCCATTTTTGATCTCTGTGCTTTGGACTCATTGGTCCTGGGAAGAGAGCTAGATAGCTGCATAGAAGATTGAAATATTTGTCTAGATCACTCTCTAATCCCTTAAGTAAACAGGCCTGGAGTCTGGCAAATCCACTGGTGCATCACATGACTTTCTTTTTACAAGCAGGAATCCATCCTTTTGACCTGAGTGTTGTCTCCGTGTTGGAGCAAGGGGCAGAGCCCTGGAGTGCGGACGGCCAAGTGAAAGTATCAAGAAACTCCGATGGGTGGGAATGTGTCAGAGGTGTGACCACAGGTAAGAGCAGAGCAGAAACGGCACCACCAAACAGTGTTTGGGGACCTTCAGTAGTGATGGAGGTCTGTGGGAGAAGTTTACCACCTGTGAACTCAGAGGAGGGTTATTTTCTTATAACCAGTTGTTCACTTGGCGGACAGGGATCACAACTGGTTTTTTACCTCCAGGTGTTGTTGCAGCTGGAAACAAAGGCAGCCTGTCCATCAAGATGGGCGACACATTGTCATTGCCTTCTGTGAAGTCTTCGGCTTCGGACTCTGTTGTGTGGGCAGGGCCCTTTACTGTCTGTCCTTTTACTTTCTCATTCCTGATTCCATGTGATGCCCAGTTCTCCTTCCATAATCACCAGAGCAGAGGTCTCCACGGTTCTTATCCCTACACCATGTTCCATTCCGTACTTGACCCCTATTCGTGTGCTTCGAATATCCAGTTACAGGAGAAATCGCTGGTGCTCATTCTTATGTGGGTAACCAGAAACCACGCCGAGCTGACCCAGCTGTCTCTCCCCGCTGTGGACACTCAGCCCTTTCTCGCATTCTGCTTTTGACATTTCTCAGCTGTGTATACTGAGCCTGTGTTAGGTCTTCTGAGATTGTTATTCCTGAGGGCCGTAAAGATAATCAAAAGATAGGTCCCGTTTTGCTCAGCGGTCCTCCACGGAAGCACATACTCGGTCTTTCCGGCTCTTCGCATGGGGTGCGTGGACAGAACAGATTTCCGTCTCAAGGTCCCCCAACATCCTTCTCTGTGGATTAGTTTTTTCCCCCTCCTTCATCACTGTTACTAGTCTGCGAGTCTAGCAAAAACCTAGGTTCTTCCTGATTTTGAATTTTTTATTGTTTGTACTATTTTTCTTGTGCTTTATTTTTTTTCTGGGAATGCAAACTAGTGTTGCCCTACATTGACATACATCCCTGCCCTTTTTTATTTTTATTCTCAGACAAGGTCTTACTAAGGTGCCTTGCCAGGCATCAAACCTGCAGTCCTCCTGCCTCAAGTTCCCAAGTAGCTGATATACAGCTAAAATTTACAAACTCCTAGGGCTTGGCATGTCATCTTTTCCTGCTATGGTAACCCACTTTGAGGTTACACTTAGCTTCTCGTAGACTGTTCCATGGAGTACATTCACATAGAAACTCATGAAGGAGAATGCTTTGTCTAGTATGGTTGAATCTCGTTTTGCTACCTGGTAGCTGTCCTGGAGACCCTGAGTGGGGTTCTCAGCATGTCTCATGATACTTGAGAGCCTAGAAACCGCACTGAGCTGTCACAACAGATACAGATGTCAGTAGCATCTGAGCAGGGTTTGTTTCCATCTGCCTCTTAGTTTTGTGAGGACTGTCACAGAATTGGCTTTTTATGGTACAGTGACACTGTTGGACACATACAGTGGTAATTGTCTTCTTTAAGTCTGCAATCAGTGGCAAAGAAAAATCTCTTAGCAGCACGTTTCTCAGGTTCATGTTCTCATGTGCGTGAGGCTTTGCAGTAAATGACCCTTGATTCCCCAGGGGTGCTGTTGTTCATTTTCAGCAGCAAACCGTGGCTCAGGCCTTTGTTCCATGTAGTGTAACCTCAAACTTATAAAAATATGATTTTCATGCATCTTTTATGAAGTTGAGTGATGCCTTGAATTTTAAAGGATCCCATCATTTAAAACAGTGTTCTTTCACCCTGTACTTTACCATGTGGTATAAAAGTAGCTTTTTATGGGTATAATCAGCAGTTCAATTTTTTTATGATACTTGTAGTTTTCTTTGTTTTATACCTGCAGTTTGTAAGAGTGTTTATTGGGGATGGTCTATTGGTTCATATATTTAGATTTCCTACTTCACTGCAGAAAGTACAACCCAGCAAGATTTTTTTGTATTGTTTTGTATTGGTTTGGGTTTTTCTGGTACCGGGAATTGAACCCATGACCTCAGGCTTGCCAGGCAAGTGTTATGCCACTGAGCTACATCCCTGGCCCACCAGCACGAGTTTGTATAAAGTTTATACAATTCCAGAATTTTTTGAAGAATCTTGTTTACTTTTGTTTCATCTAACTTAGAAAATACTGTTAAAATTACACTTTTGCATGTTAAATTTATTGTTTTTAAATTTGGAACTTTTGATGTCTTGAAAATACCATTTTTTGGTTTATTCTTGCCTTACTCCTAGAAATATCTTCAGAAAGACATTTCTTCTCTTGTTATTTAACACTTTTTCCCCCTATCATACGTTCTCAATTTTATAAACTTAATTGCTGGGTTTTATTTACATTTTACTAATTTATTATTTCTTGACATAAGTACTATATTCTTATCATGGTTCTCTCTATGCAGATTTATTGTGTCCATCTTCGTATACTAGATTAACATTTGAGTATCTCATAGAATTTTATAGCAAATTAAGCCTATTTCTTACACTTCATGGAATTCTTCTACACTATTGTTGCCTGCATCTTCATTTTCAACAAAATCTTTGAAGAGGTGGAAATTGCGTTGAGTTTAGCACATAAAAAGGGTTTTTGTCCTCATATTTCTTCCCATCTCAATTTCCTTTAATGTTCACTTGCTCCCTGTTAACCCATCTCTGGTGCTATCCTCTGCTCTGGCTGTTATTTGCTACTTATATTGTTGACTACTTCTCTGCTTATTTTGCTGCCACTAATGATGTTGTTAAGTAAAGCCTTCTTCACTGTGGATCATTTCCTTGTTTTCTCCATAATATGTAACATTTGTGAAGTCAAATATATCAATTTTGAATATTATAAGTATAATATTTATGAAGTCAGATACATTGCATTAAGTATATCTTGTATTCATTCATTAGGACAGCTATATAGCACTAATATATAAATTTTTAAAACTTTTGTCCAGTGAATTTTATATTACATTGTATGAGCTTGGCAGAGTTAGAATCTACCTTATTTTTCTTGCTGCCTGAATTTAATTCAGTTAATCATGAGTACTTAAATCAACATTTCCCTCCATCTTATTGATTCCTTTGCTGTTGTCGATTGCCATTGTTCACTTTGTTCCCATAAATTTAACTATCTTATGTTTCATCTGTGTGGAATTGTACATTTGTGTTTTAATGAAGCTCTTTTTTCAGTTTGCATTCACTTACAATAATATCCTACAGAAATATCTATCTTTTTTCATATTACAGGACTTCTGTCTTTTTAAAGGTCAAATAGTATTCTGTTGTATTTGGGCTTTTCTCTGCTTTCCACTACTATAATTAAATCCCTGGTGCTGAATAATGTATAAAGAAAACTTCATTTAGCTGACAGTTTGGGCATATGAAAGACCAGGATCAGGTGTCCCTATTGGTCCATCCTCTGCGGAGGGCATCTTGGCAGGATCCTGTGCAGAAGAGATTGTACGGTGAGACGGAACGTCTGCATCAAGGGTCAGGCGTGCACTTTATAGCAGCACACTCTCACCAGGACTAGCTCACTTTGCCAGTAAAACAAAACAGTTCTGCTAATAAGAGACTATGATAAGATATAGGCGATTATTGTCCTGACCTCACTCTTCTTGTGATGAGAAATACCTGTGTACTGTGAATGACATGGGCATTATAAGATCAGGCCATTTCTGGCCTTCTGGTAACAAGTGATAAGGCAGATCTTCTGCTTGGGGTTATCCTTGATCATTGATCCATGTCATGGCAGTGCTTGGGGATCCTCAGTGGTTGATAGGTTTTTCATTTTTTATTTTTCTATTTCTTTTGATTTGTGTTTCTTTTGTGTGTCTAATGTGACTAAGGGTAGACCTCCTGCTAATCTTTTTATATAAAGCTATCTCTATTTTCTTAGCCAAAGAATAATTTTTTACCCATTGTTTCCCTAGATTGCTGTACTCTTGTTAAAGCTTACACTGAGTTTCTGTGTGGGAACAGAATTAACTTGCCATCTCCTCTTTTTGTCTAGTTTAAGGTTTTGCTTTCAGGTCCTGCTTAGAATATATGAATAAAATTTTGTTAAATATATACCTAGAACCTACTGGTCATTCATTTTGATAAAGTTCATTAAACATGTTTTAGGAGATGTGAATCTGCTTTCTTCCCCACCATCATACTGCTACCCTGCTAATTCTTCCATTCTCCCCCACATCTGAATGCTCATTCCCATACTTAAGAATGGAATAGTTTTCCTTGCATTTGCTACATCTGTTTCTCTTTCCCACAAAGGTAGGACTAGTCCAAGTGCAATTGCCTTCCCATAGATTTACCAGCACAAACTTAGCTCCCTCCTACTTGTTCCCCTTTGCCCTACATGCTTGTCTTTTTCCATCCTGGCTTTTTCACATGTGGTTCCTTGATTTGGATGCACTGTATTGCTGCTACTTCTTACTATATGTCTACTACCCACTTGAGTTTGCAGAGGACTCCCGTATTAGCATCACAGCAGAAGGAAAGACACCCCCTCATGTTTAGATGTTCTGAGGAAACTACATAAATCGATATATGAAGTCTTGATTCAAATAACATTGTCCATGAGGGTCAGCTGAGTGACACTATTAAAAGATATTTTCCCCTGATCATTTTGTGCTGCTTGTGTGAGTAGGCATCTTTGAGCACATGTTGTCTGAGCCTACAGGCAAACAATCAAATCCTGTTTCTCTCACTTCCAGTCTGTGTATATTGGGGTTAGAAACACAAATGTCATTGACCTGCTGTCTCTGATTGAAAAGTAATTATAACTTACCTCCACGTTTTTAAATACGTAGGGCTGTGAAATAGTTAAGAATAATGTATTACAGTAGATATTTCAGGGTTCCTTTTATCAATAAGACTGATCATTCTTCCATCCTGATCCTTTTCATGTCTGCTTTATGTTCATCTTCCATTAGAGATAACAAAGACTAGTATGCTTAAACCACAAAAATTTATTTCTCACACATTTGAGAACTGAAAATTTCACAAAGAACCCATTGAATTAGTTTACACAATGTGAGTGTTTTGGTCATAGTTTGTTTCAAATTGAGCTTTTCTACATGTGATTTAAATTACATGTAGTCAAGCTTTTCTTACTCCTTTTGTGTTTGTAAGGCCTAAAAATCCTGAACTTTCATTATTGTTGTTCAATTATAATGATTTCTTTTGATGTAATTTACTTTACTAAAAGAATTTATTTAAGAACACAATGCTTTCTTGTATTTCCTAGATAAATCTCCTAAATGTGTCATCAAGGAATTTCCACCAAAAGGGAAAAGTGATACAGGAGAAATGTTCCATATAGTAGTGTTGGAAAGAAATAAAAAGCATGACACTGAAGAATTGTGCTTCGAAATCTGGACAAATATACATGACTTTAAGGGTCATTGGAGAAAGGATAAAAGATTTGTTACAGGATTATGTGGGACTCACAAGATTATGTGGGACTCACAAAGAAAATATCACTGATAGAAGAGAGGAACATGGTAGAACAAATGCAGGGAAAAATATATTAAACATTGTGTTGAATTAAGCTTTCAGTCACGTCTGCCTGAACAACAGCTATTTGTAAGAGAAATTTAATCAGTGAAATTACACTGAGAAATCTGTTAACAGCAATTCTTCAGTTTCATCCCACTGAAGAAATCCTTTTAGTGTCAAAACAAATATTTCTCATGAATATGAAAATGACTTTCTTGATTCTTTATTTTTCACACAAGAATTGGTGATGCCCATTGGTACAAAACCTTACAAAGGGAATGAATGTGACAGATCTTTGAACCAAAGCTCACACTTCACTATACCTCAGACAGTCTATGCTGGAGACAAACAATTTCTATGTGATATATGTGGCAAGGTCTTCAATCAGAAATCAAACATTAAAAGTCTTCAGAGAATGCATACTGGAGAGAAATCTTACAAATGTAAAGAATGTGGTAAAGTGTTCAGTTGTAATTCACACCTTGCAGGACATCTCATAATTCACACTGGAGTGAAACCTTTCAAATGTAATGAATGTGGCAAAGTGTTCAGTTGCAAATTCTGCCTTGCATGTCATCATAAGATTCATACTGGAGAGAAACCTTCCAAATGCAGTGAATGTGGCAAAGTGTTTAGTCTAAACTCATCTCTAGTACATCATCGGACAATTCATATTGCACAGAAACTTTACAGATGTAATGAATATAGCAGTGTTTTCTGTCATAAGTCATCTCTAGCAAAGCATCAAACAATTCATACTGCAGAGAAGCCTTACAAATGTAATGAATGTGGCAAGGTCTTCAGTCATGAGTCCTACCTAGCAAACCATGAGAGAATCCATACTGGAGAGAAACCATACAAATGTAATGAATGTGGCAAGGTCTTCAGTCATGAGTCCTACCTAGCAAACCATGAGAGAATCCATACTGGAGAGAAACCATACAAATGTAATGAATGTGGCAGTGTTTTTTTGTTGTAAGTCATCTATAGTAAAACATCAAAGAATCCATACTAGAGAGAAACCTTAAAATATGAGTATGTAAAAGTATTACATCAAATTTCACTCCTTGCCCAACATCAAACAATTTATACTGGAGATAAACCATTGACAATGTAATGAATGGGCAAGGTCTTTAATCACAGTCTCTAACTTCCACATCTGATATTTCATTCCAGATAAAAATCTTATAAATGTAATGAATGTGGCAGGGGTTCAGTCTCAAGTCTTACCAACCAATCATCAGAGAATCCATACTGGAAAGAAACCTTATACATGTAATGAATATGGTAAAGTGTTCAGTTGTAATTCATACATTGCAGAATATCTGGAGAGAAATCTTTCGAATATAGTTAATATGGCAAAGTGTTCAGTCTAAACTCATCCCTGATACATCATTGGAGAATTATTACTTGAAGGAAACATTACAAATGTAATGAAAGTATAAAGGTCATTAGTCAAATTTGATGCCTTGTGCCTCAGAGAACTGAGAGAGGAGAAAATTCTTTTAATTTGAAGGAGTGCAGCAAAGACTAGTGTATGTTTAGGCCTGACCATGTAGTCCATGTGTCAGGGTCATACCTAACAGTTCCTCAGTGGGAATTCATTAGAGATTTCATCTTGGAGAGAAAGCTAGCAAATGAGGCAGAAGTCTCCAGTCAATGTCCCAGCCTTAGAAAACATTGGACTAGTCCTCCTGGAAAGATACTTTTCATGTGTAATAAGGCAAACCTTGAGTCATCATTTAAGGCTTGGTATCCATAAGATAATCTATAGTGGAGGAAAGCATTACCAATGTATTAGGTGTAACAGTGCCTTAAGTTGAAAATGTGATATTAATACTCACCAAAGAATTCAAACTGGAAAGAAACTTCACAAATGGACTGAGAGTGGCAAATCTTTCAGTAGGTACTTAAGCCTCAGTACACATCAGCAAGTACATCCTCATGAAGAACCTGAAAAAACCAGTTAGGCACATCCTATTTTCAGCACTCACACTTGAGTATACAGATAACCCATCCTGGAGAGAAATTATAGAAAAGTGATAAGAATGTAGACATTCACACATTGCATAACTGTGGAATTTGTACACAAGTGGCATCTTATAATGAGGTAGACAAAACATTCATGATGAATTCGAGCAATAGCACCCTAGTCCATATTAATATGTAAAAAAGCATAATGCATATATAACAGAGACTTCTGGTCTAAAACATTCACTAGACATGAAATAATGATATTGAGAGAGCCATACATAGGTAGTGGGTATTGCAAAGGCTTTTTTGCAAGCATCAAAACTCGAAGAATTGAACTGGGGAGCAACCTTACAGGATTTTTCAAAGTTTCATTTTGTTGTCATAAGAGGATTTGTTCTGGAGCAAAAGCAGAAAAATACAGTGATTTAGGAAGTTCATTTTTTATTTTACAGAAAAAAGTAAAACAAAATTTCATAACATTAGAATAACAATACATTGAGTATTGTTATCTTTAAAGTAGTTAATAAGAGTACAAGATGTGGACTTATAAAATTCTCCAAATGATATTAGCACAAACCTTGTATTTTGTTTTTTACTTTTCCTTCCTTTCCCCTTTCCCCCATGCTAGTCTCTTTTTCCTTTTGAAAAATTTCTTCCCATTTCACATTACCAAGGCCAGGGAGATAGCTCAGTGGCACGGCACCTTCCTGGCAAGCACAGGGTCCTGAGTTCAATTCCCAGTACAAACCACCCCACCGCATTATCTATCGTGTGCTGTGGACCTCATTTACTCTTAGTTCCTCATGCCAGGGAGACAACATGATACTTACACATATTAGTCCAATGTATTTCACTTAGGAGTATGATCTCTAGTGGCATGCATTTATCTATAAACGTCTCGAGTTTATCCTTCTTTATGGCTGAGAGAAAGTTCATTTCTTGCCAGAGGTGGCAGTGCATACCTATAATTGTGGCTCTTGCAAGGTTAAGGTGGGATAGCCATAAATTTGAGGCCAGCCCGGGCTACTTCTTAAAGACAGTCTGAACCAAATCTATCTTTAAAAAAGTGAATGATTGTTCAACTTTACAAGGATGCAAATGTGTCACCCACACAAAAGAAAATCTATATGAATTTAAAATTTTCCTGCTGGGTGTGGTGGTGCATGCTGGTAATCCCAGTACTTGGGAGGTTGAGACTGGAGGATTACTCTGAGTTCGAGGCCAGCCTGAATTACAGAGCAAGATCCTGTCAAAATAAAATAAAATTTCCCCCTCGTCAAACTAATGATATGTAGTATGATAGTCTCTTGAGATGCTGGACGGGCAGCAAAGCCACAGCTCTGTGTACGTCACCATGAACTATGAGAGCAAATGACCCACACACACCACAGAGTACTGTGTTGCAGAGTCTGGTGGATATAAATATTCAGTAAATTATCCAATGAGAGTTTTAACACCTTTTTGCAAAATAAGCTTTGCACATCTCTAGCCTGGGGTAGTGTTCTGTCCAATTTAAAGCAGACAGAGCTAAGCCATGATGTTCAGGGGGTTAGGTGTATCGAGTGATTTTTCCGACTTGCAATGCTTTCAATTTACAATAGGTTTATCAGAATGTAACCACATCATATGTGAAGGAGCATCTGTGTGAGAGAGCTGGAAATTTTAAGTCTTTAGTTTTTTAATCACTTGACAAAACTAGGTATAGCTGTGCCTGTAAGTTCTTTATACATTTAAGCATGTCTTAAACACATTTCGTGATATTCCTTTTTTTTTTTTAAGAGAAAGAGTATATATTTCAGAAAAAATGATTCTGACAAGACAGAATAGATCCAGGGACCTTCTGCAGAGGGTTTCTCCAGTAGCTGGCTTTCACCGAGAGGCCTTACTGTGACCTGCAGGCACCCCCCACTGGGCACACCAGTGTTGAGGTCTTGTTTTATTGTCTCCAGGAGTTTGGATATCTTCATTGTAGGGAGGATGCATAATTTTAAAAGTTAAGACTATTCTTTCAAAATTCTGCAGAATGACAGATTTACTTCATGAAGACCAGAGTTAATCATTTTTTTCCCTTTTGGTTTAGTGGACCAAAGTTCAGTTAACTCCCTCAGGTGAGAAGCTATAATTCCGTTGAGTGGGACTACAGCATATATTTCATTAGCTTTCTGCACATTTGAAAGACAGTTTTAAAAGAATTGGTTAGTTAGTCACAAAAGATATTCACTATTGGAAGAAATTCCAATCCTGATCACATCTCAATAGTTGTCTTAAGAATTTTATGAGCTTGGGGCTGGGGATTTAGCTCAGCGGCACAGCACCTGCCCCGCAAGTGCAAGGTTGTGAGTTTGATTCCCGGTACTGGGGGGGGGGGAGAATTTTATGAGCCAATACTGATTTGGTGAAATCCATCGTTGAGGGGAGTAAGAAGAAAATGTTTAAACGGGAAGGGGAACAAGGGAGCGGGGAGGGAAGGAAAGGAATAGGGATAAAAAATAAAAAGACAGGAAAGAAAAAATTAGAAACAACGTGTTGTAAATAGGGAGTAGAAGAAAGATTGAAGGGAAGCAGGGGAATGGGAAAAATAGAATTAAGATTATGATGTACAGGTACACATTCCCTATGATGAATGTGATATTATGTATATCAAAATGTACCAATAATGTTGATTTTTTGAGCATTATTCATATAGAACTTTTAAAAATATATGACAATCAAAAAGCACTTAAAAAGTGAAAGTTCCACTTTTTATTTTTATCCTTTCTCAAGACTAAACCTAGGGCCTTGTGCATGGAGAACATGTACTATAAGTTGAAAATATATCCCCACCCCTTTTTTATTTTTCATTCTGAGACCAAGTCTTGCTAAGATGCCCACGATGGGCTGCAATGTGCAATCTTTCTCCCTCGGCCTTCCAAGTTATGTAATTAATGAATAGCCATTTAATGGTTTAAAAAACACAATCCTTCAACTCTTGCAAATCTGACCTACTCCCACTATCCATTTCTCCACAAGGGTTTTCAGCCAACTTAGAGAGACGTGGCCCACACTAGACCATCATGACTTCTGACCCATCTCTACACCTGGGTTTCCCACAATAACATTTATGGTCAACAATTCACTGTAAGTCTTCATGGAACCCACAAACCTGTTAATCTCACTGCTATAGATGTTGGTAGTAAAATGTCTCTTTTATGGCCAGCGATACAGTTCAATGAATTCTAAAAATGTTTCTTTGCTTTTTTCTGTTGCCCATCTTTGCCTCATCCAGGCTAACATCACTTCCATACTCATCTCCGTCTGGCGAGATGTCGGTCCATGCTTTTGTCCACCTGTCAGGCCCTGACAACAGTCTTCACTTTCCGTCACCTCCAACTATTCCTTCCCAGTTAACACATATTTACTGTAATTCCGGTGATGTCAACCATATTCTTTAAGGCCCCTTGTTCAAAATTTCAGACCTCATATACCAGGTGGCGTCAGCCTTTGTGTCCCTATCCACATACCCAAATTTACCTTTTTCTGGGTCCTTTATACAATCTCCCTATCTTCCCCACCTTACTCAGTTACCTGCAGCTATTGTCTCGGACTGTTCCCATTATCCCCTTATCCCACACCACATGCAAGACTTGTATTCACCTTCCAAGCCTCTGTATCTCTCTTCCACTAGTAACTACTGCCAGGGAAGCCTTAAGCCACAAATATATGGAAATATATTTGGATTTTTGAAACAAATATCTTTTGAACCATTTGTGGAACCCTGGGAGAAGACTGTCAGTTTCCTTTGTTGAACATCTGATTATGTCCACATTCAAACCACCTCCCTAACTGTGCTCTCACATATTTGGCCATTTAGGTACCCCTTCCCAAATTAGTCAGTTGTCAGTACCAATCAAAGAAATCAGGGACAGCCCCTTCTTTCAGACACATTAAATTATTCTAGTAAGTCAGTTCAGAGTTCCCAGGAACTCTAGTGACTTTCATCCTGCTTGTTTTCCATGTGTTACTGCCATCCTCCTGTCACACTCTCTCTAGGAGCAATCCCGGTGTGCTTCCACCCAGAATTCTACTTCCTTTGCGGCTGTGACTAATGAAGATTTCTCATTCCTACTATCCATGTGTCAATGTATTCTCTTTCCATAAAAAGGAAAAAACTTTAAATTTTATATAACTTACAAAACACCTCACCTGGGTCTGTTAATCTCTTGTGCACAATGACTCTGGTAGGCGTTTTACCACACCACCCCCTTCTATCCACTTTGATCTATTGTACCTTTCTCATTCTATTTTTTCTTATGATTGTTGAACCCCTTATTCTCATAGACCCAAAAGAGCTATTCCCTAGCATTTTTTGTCCTGTGATTGCCATTAAGCTCCTTGGTGTACTTTAGTCACACCACACCCCCTT